CTTCCTGTCAGAACAAGCACCTTGCGATCACAGTTCCCTATGCCTGTGATTTAAGAGTTCCTCTCCTGGCCCTGACAGTAAGGCATTTCCGTCCCACAGATTATAACTCACTCTGGGCTATTATTCAGCTCCCCAGCCCTGGCCCTGCTGCAGTTAGTCCAAACATAATATCCTTCATGCATATATTATCTGTCTCCCTATTATCTGGAATCATTTCGGAATTAAATTTCAGTCCTGCAATATTGGCTTCAGGAGCGGCGCGCTTTATGGGCTAGTCAAAGGTTAGAATACCAATCAAAATAACAGTGCCGATGCAGCGAGACATTTTAATATTCCAAAACCCGGTAATTGTAAAAGGACATAATATTTTTTCCCTGATTACCCCAAAGGCAACACATGTTAACAAGGCAAGGGAAGGACTGAAAGAAATTTCAGAGTTCAGACAGCTGTAAGACATATTTAAAGGAAAAGCCCAGACTGGGCCCTCCGCCATGGGGGCAGGGAGGCGAGAAGAAAGGGACATTCCCTGTGGCTCTGGCAGTGGACACTAAACGCTGTCCCTCCTCTACTGCTGGACTTGAGCTTAGCCTGAGGCACACACACTGCAGAGGGGGACTGAGAAGAGGAACCCACAAACTGGAGCCCGCGGCCCGGGTTCTGGTTCTCACTTGCAGGTCAACAACCTCTTGCGCGAACCAGCCCAGGCGCCACAGCAGGCCCTAGCCCCTCTCTACAGGCCAGCTTCTGGTGGACAAGACATCTGGCTCCACCATGCCCTTATTCCCACCTGGTGCTGTGTGTCCTGCACCTTGAGCTCAGTCAGCCTGTTCCTCAAGGATGGTCAGAGGTCTCAGGTATCCAACCTAGACTACACACGGCCGTGAACAGTGAACTAATCGCCTGTGGATGGTGCCAAAACCTGGATCACCATCCTGCCTGGTTCTGCCCACAGAGCTCAAGTCTTCCAGTGGTGCAAGTTTCCCTCTGAGAACACTGCAGGGCATCTAGACAGCCACATCTCTGCTCTTTCCCTCGAGTTTTGTTGTTCTGTCTCAGTTAGCTTCTCATCAGCCCCAGAAGGGCTCCAGGGCCAGCGTCACTAGCCACTCTTCCATAAATGGTCCAAAGCATCAACCTGCTGAGCAGACTTTGTGATCACTCCTGCCTGCTGGAGCTTCAGATCTGCATCACCAAGACCTGCTGACCTGCCAATGGCCCCCAGCAAAGAACTTCATTAAGGCCAAGAATTTATTCCTCCATAAGGGCTTAATTTATTACTGTACTGATTAGGACTCTGAATGCTCCAAGGTCAGGAAAAGTCACACTCAATCATAGACTCTCATGCTCCCTCCCCCTTCAGCAGTTTCTCCTGCAATCCCCTCCCTAAGGTTGGGGTAGACAGAATGTTTCTTGGACAGACCCCCAAAAGTTCTCTCTCCTCTTCATCCTGGCTCTCTTTCAGAGCACACAGGAAGCACAGCAGGGTATGGAGGTCAGGTGGCAACGGGAGAGCAGAGCTACAGTCTTTACACCCAGCTTTTTAAAATTGATATTTGTTGAGCTCTACACTTTTCTCTGCTCCCCTCCCTGCCTTTCCCCTCCCCCCTTCAACCCTCCCCCAAGGTCCCCATGCTCCCAATTTACTCAGGAGATCTTGTCTTTTTCTACTTTCTACTTCCATGTGATCTATGTGAGTGTCTCTTAGTGTCCCCATTGTTGTCTAAGTTCTCTGGGATTGTGATTTGTAGGCTGGCTTTCTTTGCTTTATGTTTAAAAACCATCTATGAGTGAGTACATGTGATAATTCTCTAGCTCCATCCATTTTCCTGCAAAATTCAAGTTGTCATTATTTTTTTATGCTGTGTAGTACTCCATTGTGTAAATGTACCACATTTTCCTTATTCATTCTTCAGTAGAGGGGCATTTAGGTTGTTTCCAGGTTCTGGCTATGACAGACAAAGCTGCTATGAACATAGTTGAGCACATGTCCTTGTGGCACGATATATAACCAAAAGTGGTATTACTGGATCTTGAGGAAGGTTGTTTCCTAATTTTCTGAGAAATTGCCACACTGACATCCAAAGGGGTTGTAGTAGCTTGCATTCCCACTAGCAATGCAGAAGTGTTCCCTTTTCCCCACAACTTCTCCAGTATAAGTTGTCATCAGTGTTTTTGATCTTGGCCATTCTTACAGGTTTACACCCTGTTTTTACCTGACCAATTCTAGGTGGCTCTATCCCCTACCTGCAGGGAGGACTGGAGAGGCAGCCTGCATGCCCGGCTCAGAACCCTTGAAGGCTCTTGCTTACTTCCCCACAAAGCCCACCCAGGCAGGCTGTGACTGAGAGGGGATTCCTGACAGTTGTGACTGTGTGTGCACACAGCTGCACAGCTTGGTCTGCATAGATGTGAAGTGTTTATATATGTGTAGGCATGCGCTTATACATTCATTTGTAACTAGGTCCCATGCATATGTATTGAGTAAAACTCATTTTCTGTTTTCGTCCATACATATCTTTCCTGATATGTCTCGACCAACCTTTCTGTTTCATAGTTCCTTATTTAGGACAACATTCTTCCTATCCAACCTTAACCACCAGTTCTGTGGCTATACTTTTAGAAATTGCCAATATCCCATTTCTTAAATCATTAATTCAAACATACTACTTTAAAAAAATGTCAATATAGGCTAGCCTCAAACATGCTAAGGATTCAAGCTGGGCAAGGATGACCTTCAACTCTGACCCCCTTTGCCTTTCCTGCCCAGCACTGGGATTACAGATGTCCAGTGCCATACTTGGATTCTTACTTTGATGCCAGGAGTCTTCATACTTGTGTGGCAAGCACTTTATCGGCTGAGCCGCCCTCCTAGTCCTTTTTTATTTTTCTGAGATAGAGTCTCACTCTATAACCCAGGCTAGCCTGGAACTTGCAGTGATCCTCCTGCCTCAGGGTCCACTACAGCTGGCTAGACATGGCACTGTTCTATACGGCCTCTTCCCCTGCCGTCTGGCCTCCTCAGTTGTGCCCACTGCACTGCTCCTCATCTCTGCAGGACATATCAGCTTTGTCCACAGCCATCAGGTCCTTCATCTTTCAGTATCCATCTTAAATCCCTAAGGATCCCTTTTCACACCTCTGCTAAGTGTCAGACCTCTGAACAAAGTGGCTCTGCTTTGACCCAACTGGACCCTCAACACTGTTTAGAATGTCTACTGTCCTCAAGTCAGCTCCCAAAGTCTCCTATAGGGACAGTTATCTGCTCATACTTTCTGTGAATCCTGCTAGATCTCCCCCCACCCCCATTAGTTGCCAGCAAATGGTTTAGCTGTTTGTCTCGCAGAGAAAAGTAAAAGCCATTGAACTGGCCGGGCGATGGTGGCGCACACCTTTAATCCCAGCACTCGGGAGGCAGAGGCAGGTGGATCTCTGTGAGTTTGAGACCAGCCTGGTCTACAGAGCTAGTTCCAGGACAGGCTCCAAAGCCACAGAGAAACCCTGTCTCGAAAAACCAAAAAAAAAAAAAAAAAAAAAAAAAGCCATTGAACTGTTGCAGGAGCTCCTTCCGCCAATAGCTGCTGAGATACCAGCCCATTGGGGCGTGGTCTCTCTCTCTTTAACCACTGCCCTCCACCTGCCTCTGACTCCTGGGATTAAAGGCAGGTGGAGGGGCAGTGGCAGCTTTTTTAGAGAGAGAGACCACGCCCCAATGGGCTGGTATCTCAGCAGCTATTGGCTGAAGGAGCTCCCGCAACATTGAACTATCAGATGGTGTGCTTTTTTTCCCAGTTTGACACAAACCTAGACATAATGGAGAAGAGGGAATCTTTTCTTGAAAATGTCTCCATAAGGTTGGTCTTTAAGCAAGCCTGTGGGGCATTTTCTTGATTAAAGATCAAGGTGGGAGGGCTCAGTTCACCATGGAAAGTGCTACCCCTGGGCAGGTAGTTCTGAGGTGTATGAGAAACCATCTGAGCAAGGTATGCAAACAAATCAATAAGCATTGTTCCTCCATGATCTCTGCTTCAGTTCCTGCCTTGGCTTCACTCAATGAACTGTGTGACTTGGATGTGTAAGCCAAACAAACGACCTCCTCCCCCAAACTGCTTTTGGTCACAGTTACCATCACAGCCACAGAAAGCAAAGTAGGGCAGAAACTGGCACCAGGAACATGGGGTGCTGCTGGGATAGACCAGACCATGTTGTTTGGGGGAGGATTGCAGGATTTTGGGTATTCAGAGCTCACTGATGTTCTGTGGGGAGCCTGGAAGATGCTGAGAACAGCACAGATGCAGAGGCTTACTTAGCTTGTTTCAGACGAAATCTGAGAGTTCTTTAAAAACTTTATTGGTACTGTTTGATACTTCAAAAATCATTTTTTAAATTGTATTTATTCACTTGTGTTGTACACGTGTCCATTTGGGGCAGCCAGGGGACAATACACAGCATTGGTTCTTTCCTTCAGCACGTGGGTCCCAAGGATCAAACTCGGGTAGTCAGGCAGCCAGAGGTGCCTTAACCCAGTGGGCCAACTCACCAGCCATGTTCATGTGATATTTTGAACTGAGAATATGTAGTTCTGGTCATCAGGGGCTAAAGAGCTAGCTGTGATAAAGAAGAGATGAACATCACTGAGGTGAAATCTTCTGGAGTATTTCCTCAGGGTTAGCACACAAAAACTGTGGTCCAGAGCAGCCAAAGCTGGCAGGCAAACTTGCTAGTGTTTAAGAATCTCTTACATGTTACTGGCTTTGGTGGCATGAGAGCTAAAGAGCTGAAGGGGTCATGAAAAACAGCTGAGACTTGGCACTGTGTGGCAAGGTTAGAGTCCCTGAAGAGAGATCACTGGTAAAGGTGCAGCCTCACCTGCAGCAGAGACTCCAGTATACTTGAGATGTCAGAGCTGGAGACGAGCAAGTAGTACAGGTGTGCAGTGGAGTCAGCTTGAGGCCATGAGGCTGTATGTACTACGGATGACAGAGACGGAGACACGGTACTGCTGAGCCCCCCTAGAGTCCAGATGATCATGAATCCTGGATACAAATAACTGGATACAGAGTTTTTTACACTATTGGAGCTTGGTTTTGCTTTTATTGTGATTGTGCCCTGGTTTGTCCTTCTTGGAATAAGAAAGGTGTTAAACTTACTTTATATTTTATAGGATCCCACGGTTAAAAAGACTTTGGACTTTTAAAGAAATTGTGGATATTTTAAAGTGACTGAACTTTTATTAAAGTGTTTAAATTTTTTAAAGACTGAAACTTTTAAAAAAGATTTTCTATTATGAAAATTGATATTAATATGAGATCTTGGGATAAACAGAAAGGGAGGATTATGGTTTAATAAGTATGCGTTTGTGCACTAAGTTGACAAGTTGTGCACTAAGTTGACAAGTTGTGCTGGTTGGTTTCGTCAACTTGACACAAACTCAGACATACTTGGGAAAGGGAATCTGGTTTGAGAAATTGCCTCCATATGGTTAGCCTGTAGGCAAGTCTGTGTGGCATTTTCTTGACTAAAGATTGATATGGGAGGACCCAGATCACCAGGGGCAGTACCATCCCTTGGCAGGTGGTCCTGGAGTGTAGAAGAAGGCTGATGGAACAAGGCGGGGGTGGGGGGAGATAAGGATAGGGACACAACACGAACATGTCAGTGAGCAATGTTCCTCTATGCCCCTGCGTGTCCTTCAATGGATTGTGACCCAGAGTATGTGAGCCAAATAAACCCTTTCCTTCTACAAGTTGCTTCTGACTGTTAGCCACTGTTCTATTGTTGTGAAGAGACACTATAAATAACCAAAAATAAGTTTTAAAAGAAAGTTTTTAATTGGGGCTTGTTTACAGTTTCACAGGCTTAGTGAATCATCATCACTATGGTAGGGAACATGGCAGACAAGTGTGGTACTAGAAACCTAGCTAAAAGCTACACTCTGACCTGTAAACTGAGAGAGAGAGAGAGAGAGAGAGAGAGAGAGAGAGAGAGAGAGAGAGAGAGAGAGATGCACTGTGCCTGGCTTGAGCTTCTGAAACGTCAAAGTCTGCCCTAGTGACATACTTCCTCCAATAAGGCCACAGCTCCTAGTGCTTCTCATACAGTGCCACTTTCCGATGACTATTCAAATCTGTGAGCCTGGGGGGTGGTGTCATTCTTACTCAAACTACCGCAGCCATGGTCTTCAGCACAGCAATAGAAAGCAGCCTGAGCCAGATGAAAACGACCTCAGCTTGCCCTCATCAAATCAGCAAGCCTGTGGACATGGATCTGCACCCATCTCTCTTTTTCTTCTGTCAGGATGAAGTAGGGAAGGATATACTGTCTTCTCTCCCCTTTTCAGAGGTAGCCCTAATGACCCCTTTCCTTCCTGACTTTCAGCCTGGCTGGCCACCTTCCACCCCAAATCCTTCTTAGTCCTGTACTGGCCATGTCACATCTCTTACCTGTTCTTTTCTTCAGAATCGCAGCTCTGAAAACATTAAATTTCTCTTACCTCCTTGCCTTCTTACTTATGCCCAAACCACTTGCTTTATCCTCATCCTTCCTTTGTGCTCACACGTTCTCACCAAGGTCATCAGGGTCCATCTGCTCACCTTGGAATTATTCATCTCTCTCTGGGCTGTAAACAGCCATCTCAGCCTCTGGGATACCACCCTCGGTGGCCCTCTGTCTCTGTACCATAAAGACTTGGGTGGAACTAACTTCACTTCCAGTTTTGCCACATATTGGAGTGAAAGCATTACCTCTCTATGTTCAGGAGGGTTGTGAGGATTAGACAATGGAGCACAGAAGCCAAGTATCTGGCCCAGGTCTGTTCAGTACAAACACAATGCAAATATATAAGAGAGTCGAAGTTTTATAGTGGTCACATTAAAAGATAAAACATGTTGGAGATGGAGAGGTGGCTCAGTGGCCAAGAGCACTGGTTGCTCTTCCAGGGGACCCAGGTTTGATTCTCAGTAGCCCAATGGTGGCTCACAACTATCTATAATTCCAGTACCAAGGTCTGAGGCCTTCTTCTGGCCTTTGTTGGTACTGCAATACATGGTATACATACATGACGGCAAAACACCCAAACACATAAAAAATAATAATGATAAAGGCTTAAAACTGTTTTAAGTAAAACACAATATTATTTAATCAATTAATATATCCAAATATTATCCTCAACATGATAGCAGTATAAAAATTATGAGATAATTTGGCTCTTTTTCAGACCAAGTCTGATGGGTAAATTAATGGTTTTATCACATCTCAGCTAGGAAGCAAAATCTTTATCAGAAACAATGTTGTAGACTGTGTACTATTAACAGTTTAAAATGTAGCATCTCTAAATCAAGTGCTTTAAACATACTTAAAAGTTTCTCAAGGAAATTTTTAATTTAAATTGATAATTTAATTTAAAATAAAAATAAAACACACTAAGAATTATCTCTCAATCATATTAGATATATTCCAAGTGATCCACTGCCACATGTGCCAGTGGAACTTTAATGGGGAGCACAGATACTAATGACTGAACTCCTGTCCTCCCCAAAGTCCATGTTAAAATTGAACTGCTTCTCTATCAGTACTGAGAGGTGGGGCCTTTGAAAGACCACTAGGGCATGGGAACAGCCTACACAAATGGGTCAGTACCATTCTTGTAAGAGGGCACTGGTTTAAGAGTAAAGCGGGACTGCTCTGCCTTCTGTCTCCAAAGTTCTTTGTTTTTTTAATCTTAAGCTTCTCCTTCTACTAGCACATAAAATTCATTCTAATTTACCAAGGTGCTCACTCAAACTCTAAGGCCATAATGACTGTTTCTTTCACCCCTAACTTTGACAACCAATCACCATTACACAGTTGGTACTGCTATAATACTCAGTTTCAAAGAACAAGTTTGTCCCAATGTAATCGATGTATTAAAAAATAATTTAGCATAATGCCAATTTTGCATTTGTTTCTGTTATTTTTCCAAATGATAGACTAGTTGTGCCAGATGTGGTAGTGGATGCCTCTAATCCCAGATGTGGTAGTGGATGCCTCTGATCCCAGATGTGGTAGTGGATGCCTCTGATCCCAGATGTGGTAGTGGATGCCTCTGATCCCAGATGTGGTAGTGGATGCCTCTAATCCCACTACTCGGGGAGTAAAGGCAGGAAAAGTCTAAGTGCTATGCTAGCCTGGGCTAAATAGTGAGATTCTTACAAAGATAGAGGAGATAAAGGAAGCTAAACTTGGCTGAACAGTGAACTCTGTCAGATCATATAAAATGCATGCATGCACATCTACAACACACCTAACAGCCAACACTAAGCTCATCATACATGCTACAGCCACATCCTTCTGGTTACAATTTCCCATTTGATTTCAGACAATCTCCTGCCCCCATCCCTCTTCACAATAATTCACCAACTATAGCCCTTCTTACATCTACTTCTATATGTGAATTTTAGATTTTTTATTCAAAGTGCTATTATAGCATTTATGTATTTCTTAATCATTTAACTGAAACTATACTATCAATTAAAGTAAATGTCTGTCTTTCTTTGCTATGCTATGATGGAGTTTCAGTGTGATGCACTTCCTAGGTCATTTCTACTGGACAATTTTCCTTAGTCTAAGAAATTTTGTTGTTTGGTTTGGTTTTTGAGACAAGGTCTTACTCTGTAACCCAGATTAGTCTTCAACTCTATAGCTCAGGCTGGCCTTGAACTAAAGGCAATTCTCCTGTTTAAACCTTCTAAGTGCTGGGATTACAAACCTGGGTGGCCACATCTAGCTAGTACAGGGATTTTTAGGAACCTATATGTTTGTATCATAACAGAATTGACTACACCATTCAACATTTTACAACCATCCCAGTTCTCTATAATGATATTTTATTTATTTTTTAATAAATAAAACTAGCCTGAAGATCAGAAGGTAAAACTAAGTCACTAGAAGGCAGGCAGTGGTGTCACACACCTTTAATCCCAGGATTTGGGAGACAAGTAGATGGATCTCTCTGAGTTCAAGGACACCCTGGGCTAGTAAGATCAATGCAGAAACAGATCTAGGTAGTGGTGGCTCACACCTTTAATCCCAGCACTAAAGGGGAATGTAAAACAGGAGGAGACAGAGACTCAAAGCTCAGTCTGCAGTCACCCAGCCTTGGTAGCAATAAGACTTCTCTAGTGGCTTGACTGCTTTGCTTTTCTGATCTTCAGCTTGAACCCCAATATCTGTCTCTGGGTTTTATGATTCGTGCTGCAGTTCTCTACCTTCCACAGCTAGCCATATAAACCAAGCAACTGCCATATTCCACCTGGACTGTGGCAATGGTCTTATTTTATAGCTCTCAACCAGCAGCAGCGCTCTCCCATCCCACCCTCCGTGAGCTGCTGGGGATCTGTGTGTATGTGCATGTACATATTTGGTTGTACAATCACAGAATCACAGTAGAGAATCAAAACTGGTATTTGATAAACATAGGCCTGAGATGCTACAAGTTCAGTAATGTTACCCAAAGAATGTTTTAAATGTCCCACCTACAAACTCAAAATCCAAATCCATTTAGAAAAACCAGTAACTGGTCTCTTACAGTTCTCTATATAGCAGCCACAGAATCTTTTTTAAAACTCAAATGAGAGAAAAAAAAACCCTCAAATGAGATGGACATGGTGGCTCATGTCTATAACTTCAACACTGTGAATACTAAGGCAGGAGGAATGTCAAAAGTTTAAGGCCAGTTAGTTTACAGCAAGAGACTCTATCTCAACACAAAACAAAGAAGCAAATGAGTTGAATCTTTCTTTTAATATCCTTTCAGTAGCTCCCCTTCATTCTAAAGACAAGGGCCAAAACCAAAACATGGTCAAGCTCTGGCCTCAGCTTCCGGCTTCACCGCATGCCACCTTCCTCTCCTCACAGCCCCTATGTCTTGGCAGCCACTCATTCAGGAAATGAATTACGTTTCCCTGTACTGTGAACCATCCAAAGTGATGAACAAGAGGCAAAAATTTTGTCTTCTCAGCTTTTATAAAGAAGCCATGTGTCTCCTCACCTCAGGGCTTCCCCATATGCTGCTCCCTAAGCTTGGCCAATTCCTCCTCCAGACTAGAACGTAGACATCCTTCCCCAGGAAACTACTCTCGGACTCTACCTCAATAAATCTACTTCTTTCTTAAGCAACCCACAGCTCTCAATGGTCCTAAACATGTTACTAGACAGAAGTGAAATGATGTTCAACAGTCAGTTTCTCTGTTAGAGTTCCAGAACTTAACACGGTGCCTGACACAGAGAGAGCGCTCCAGTGTGTTTATGGATGAGTTGTGTATATCTTTGTGCTCTACAGGTATATGTATAGACACTATGTCTATACATATTTCCCAGTATTTCTGCAGATGACTATGTTTATGTGAACACACACATATGTATATGTGTGTGCATACATGCATGTGTATTCTCTTATTCCTTAGTAACATTTCCAATCTCTTCAAAAGAGCTGGGAGCAGAGCTTCAAGTCTTAAAATTGACAGCTCAAAAAAAATCTAAGATCATTCAACAGCATCCCAAATGTCAGCCAACAGTGGCTTTTGCCACTCTGCTACAGGGGAAGTAGGTGGAGGTAGGGGATGTCAAAACACAGCTGTTGGAAAATTCCCTTTTCTGAGGCAGCCCACAGTTTCTGAAGGAGAGGAGAGCTGAAAAAAAGTCTCTCATTTCTTCTCAGATTAGAGGCCTTTGGAAATGCGGACTCACATAGTCACACACCTGAAGCACAATATAGGCTGGGGCTCGAGAGGAAGGGATCGGATTCCTTCTTTTTTCCCAAGCCTGCTTGGATTACCTCACAAAAAGAAAATACAAAGTTAACTGGGAGTAGAGTCCTCAGTTTCCCTTTATACCCATTCTTTTCTTCCATATCTTGGCAGTCCAGTAGAAAATTGATTGAAGAGGTTCAAGACAGCCTAGTGTTACCATATGGGTCAGCTACTCTCCTGCCCTTCTGCCTAGGAACCTAAAGGCAGAGAGTTATCATACACAAAATTCTAGTGAACTTCACAGAGTAATTTTTAATGGTCAGTGCCTGCCTCGCCTGGCCGGGCCTTCACATTGCATTTGTTGAGGCTGGCAAGCAGTCTCAGATAAGTTTTGACAGCTGGCACACTGTTTTCCTGGACAGTGTCTATTTACACATGCATGCTCCACTCATGAGGGTCTCTATGAAGCTAGTTTTCAGTGAGGAGGTGGCCAGCAAGTATACACACTCTGAGTCTAGCTGACCCCAGTCCAGCCACTGAGGCTAGAACCAGGCTCTGTCTGTGCCCTGGAAGGACACACCTGGAAGTAAACGAGAACGGATTTATTGCTAACTGAGTTCATTGGTATCCCAAGTCCAGGGAGCCTCACAGCAAGAGCTCAGCAGAAGTGATGTCTGAACTGCATCTTCAGAGAGAGGGAATATACCTGATGATGACGAAAAAAGGCAAGAGGTGCGTTTCCTGAAGGGAGACAGCCAGACCAAAGTACGACCTAGGACAGCCTAGTCTCCTCAGTCAAAAATGAGAAGCAGTGTCAGAGACTCAGCTTTGTGAGTGACCATCAGGAGGTGGCGGGACAGAGAACGAAGAAGAGTACAAAGGATGCACACGAGGGAAAGGAAAACAAAGATGGGACCGAGTCCACTGTCACCCTTGTATGGAGCAAATACTCACAGAACTAGTTCCCCTCCTGTTCTTCCATATCCACCCACAAAAGCAGGTCACTCTTTCTGCCTACAAGGCAATCTCCTCCTAGCATACTCCCCTTCCCAGTCTAAGATCCCAATCTTCACAGTATCTGATGTGACCTTGCAATGGCCTCTTTCCCCTAAGCCTACAGGGAGCCGCCATCCCGACCCTGCTGTGCTTTCCCTTCTTCAAGATCCCTGAGCGTCACTAAGCTGCCTGGATGCCTCAAGTAGATCCTGAGGCTGCTCTAGGAGGATGACATGTGGGTATCATTCTCCTAGCGGCTTGGGACTCCTGGAGCAATAATTCCTCTAGAGCAAGGAACCAAGAAACCCATTACTACATTACTTCTTTTGCTCACCTAGGAAGCACAGCACCTGCTAGGGAAGGCTGGTTTCCTGTGTGACTCACTATCAGGGAACTGTCCAAGCTATACAGGATACTTTTGAGGCCCACAACCCTATGCAAACTCTCCTAGGCCTACAATGCTGTATTAGTGCCAAGATCCTCCTTCATGCTTCAAGGGTCTAACTTCCATTGTCCTCCCCTACATGAAAAAGGTTCTGCTAGGACCAGGTAAGAGCAAAGCCAGCTTAGGCAAACCCCTCTTCCTAACTAGAGCACAAAGACTACACTCAGGAGTATATAAAAAAAGATGAAGTACCATGCTTCTCCTAGTGACAGCACAGCTCAGCCCAGAGATTCAGAAAGAAAAAAAAATTTCTCTAACTAGGACTTCTATGTTGTTTGGAAGACACAAATCGGACTCCACCTACTAGTAGTTGACATTTAAGCAGCTCCCCATCCCCAGAAATATCAACATTTCAGTGCATTATTACCCAGGGAAGAGAAAAAAGGGATACTGAGAAAATAAAGACTAGGAAAGACACAAGAGTTGGGGGGTAGGGGGAAACACAGGAGAACCAGCAGCTCTGGGTGAAGCTCAGATGGTACCTTTTTCAGATTAATCCACTGCTTGAAGTAATCCGCCACGGGCAGGCCTAAATAATGGCACTGGCCTGGGAGCCTACAAAAAAAGAGGAGAAAACAAGTTGGAAACATACATGTTCCAAGTGCAGAGTCTTAAGTTACAAAGCAAAAAACAAAACAAAACAAAGTCTACAGAACAAAGAAAGCACAGGGTCAACACATCAGCAGAGTCCCCAGCTGATTCCCGAGTGCTGGGACTAAAGGTGTGCACTACCACGTCTGGCCACAGAGCTGATTTTTTAGCTTAAAATCAAATTATTAGTGTCAAATGTTAGAGTGACCAAATAAGATGAGATGTGAGAAAACCCAATGGACTTCATAATCTGGAGGTTCCGTGAACCTAGTGAGCAGTGTTAACAGCAGTGGGCCAGGCAAGGAAGAGTAGAGGGAAGAACCTCTGAGAGACAAGGCGACGGAGAACACAAGTACAGACGCCTTTTCTTAGGAACTGTGGCTAGAGAATCTAGTTGAAACAAGTTCACCTCAGGAAGCTGAAGGGAAATCTAATCTTCCTTTCATCACCATTCAAATATTTGACAGATACTAATAGGAAGTTAACCTCAGGAAGTTAAACTAAGATGCATTACGTCTTTCTTTTGAGACAGGGTCTTTCTACATAGCCCTGTCTGTCCTGGAACTCTTTCTGTAGACCAGGCTGGCCTTGAACTCAGAGAGATCACCTCTGCCTCCCGAGTGCTGGAATTAAAAGCGTATGTCATCACACCTGGCACTGTCTGTCTGGAGTGGCAGGTTTCTTTCAAAGACAGGTGACAGAGCAACATTATCTGTAACTAGCTAGCTTTCTGGAGGAGAATTTCTGGCTGATGAAGAGGTATCCAGAAGTGATATGCCCACATAGGGCCAGGGACCAAGGACATGAAGCCATTAAGCAAGGCTTCTAAGGGTAAGAAGTGGCCTGAGCAGCTAGAACAGAATTTCCTGAGAAGCAAACTGCAATTGGACCGTTTAAATCGCATCATTTGCTTCTTTTTCTTTGATGTTCCTTATCTTTTGTGTCCTAGAAAATGATTGCTAAGCTCACTGTTTTAGAAAAATTACATTGAGGTCTATTGTGGAGAGGCCTCAAAACAAGGAGGAACACAGGGACATAACCAGAAAAGGGCAGGCAGCCCCCAAGGGATTCCCTTTTCTGCGGGATTTTTAAAAAAGATTACTTATTATTATTTTAAGATTATTATTTTTAGGGGCTGGAGAGATGGCTCAATGGTTAAGAGCATTGCCTGCTGCTCTTCCAGAGAACCTGAGTTCAACTCCCGGCAACCACATGGTGGCTCACAACCATCTGTAATGAGGTCTGGTGCCCTCTTCTGGCCTTCAGGCATACACGCAGAAAGAATATTGTATACATAATAAATAAATATTTTTAAAAAATTATTATTTTTAAAGATTTATTACATATACAGTATTCTGCCTACATGAGTACCTGTACCCCAGAAGAGGGTACCAAATCTCATTATAGATGGTTGTGAGCCATCATGTGGTTACTGGGAATTGAACTCAGGACCTCTGGAAGAAGAGTCAGTGCTCTTAACTGCTGAGCCATCTCTCAAGTCCCCTTTCTGAGGGATTTCAATGGTACATAACAACTATAGACAACACCTCCAGGTAGGAAGGGTCTAGATCAGTGGGGTCCTGCCTGCTCCTCTCCACAGGAGCTACAGTGAGAACAGACCAGAAAGAAAGATCATCTAAACAGTCATTCATATCTGAACATGGGTTTTAATTGCTGTAAAGAGACACCATGACCACGGCAACTCTTACAAAGGAAAACACTTAATTGTTTACAGTTTCAGAGATTCAGTCCATTATCATCATGGCAGGGTGCATGGCAGGCTCTGGTTGGGAGTCCTAATGGTCTAGGACACTGGATCAAACTGGGGTCAAGGGAGTCGGATCAAGTGTGGCCTCTCCAGGACAGTCTCTCCCCTCCTGGGCCCCTCCAAGGCTCTGTTGAGGAGCAGATATGGGGTGTCCTGGAGCCTTGCTCCCTGTGTGATTTATATAGGAGCTCATAATGGCACCGACTGGTAGTAAATAATCAGATATGAAATTTTATCATTTAATTAACCAAAAAAATAAATGATCAAGGGCCCTGGGAAGAAGGAAGCCTGGTCACCCCCACGTTAGCTGCTACTGTGGGCATGGAGTGGATCATTACTGGATCTGTTCTCATTCACCCCATAGGTGTAACCCTCATTGTCCCTGCATCATTGACAGGCAAGCTGAGGTCTGGAGAGGACAAGATAGTCTGGAGTTCCTCAGGAGCCACTCAGCAGCCTGGGGTAGGATCCTGTGAACTCCAAATTCAAAACTCAGTCCTTTTACTCTGGCTGATTCCATTTTCCAGCTCAGGATCAACTCATGCATCTTCCCCGTGAATGCCTCTTGGACTGCTATGGTCATGAAGCCACTTGGAGGGACCCTCAGATGAGGGTTGTTTGGAGCAGTGAATGGCATATGGGGTGCAGCAGACAAGATGCTGCAGAAGTGGCTCAGAGTCCTACATCTTTCAGGCAACAGGAAGCCAAATGAGATACTGGGCGGTATCCTGAACATAGGAAACCTCAAAGCCTGCCTCTACAGTGACACATTTCCTCCAACAAGGCCATACCCACTCATTCCAACAAAGCCACACCTCCTAATAGGGCCACCCCCTATGAGATTATGGGGCCAACTACATTCAAACTTCCACAGACCAGCAGCAATCCTTAGTGCCTCTCTGTACTCTATATCTGACTGAAGTATGAAGGGGGAACTCCATGCATGAATTTGCAGATCTAAGGAGAAGAGTAGGGTTGCTAGTGCTCCTCTGAATATCCCAGTCCTGTGACTCCCAGCATAAACAATACAAATATAGTAGGGCCCAGACTCAACTTCATGAAAGATAGAACCAAGAGCTAGAACCTGAACTTCCAGGTGTCTCATGGGACAATAGCTAGACATCCCAGCACAGAGAGCACAAGGCGGGTTAGAGTGGTCACCATTCCCTACACAAACGAGGAAACAGATTCAGTGAAGAAAAAGAATTTGTCAATCATGTAACAAGTCAAGAATAGAACTAGAAATGAACTCTAAGGCTTCTGAATATATGGGTGCCAACTGCACATATTCTTCTAGAGACTTTGACTCATCTCTGAGAAGGCAAAGCTTGGAGCCTTGTAGAGGTGGGTAGGATGGTAGTTACTGCTCAAGGTCCTATCTTCATTCAACATTCTAGGAGCCTAAAGTCAGTAGGGACCAGTAGATAATACACGGTTCCATTAATCTGGCAAAGAAAAGGGCAAAGACTCCGGACACAAAGGGTCCAAATGCTCAGTTTCTACCAGATATTGATCCCAAGGAAAAGAGCCATTGGCAGTGGGCCCTGAACTAGCCTGCGGGCATAAATGTGCAGGCAAGTTTATGGTGCCCAGGTCTCCATGCAGCTGGATTCACTGGGCACAAAGCTCCCCAACTGCCCAAACATCATCTGGTCATGCTTATTACTGTTGCCCAATGAAATTTTATGCACCGAGTCCACAGGTGTGATTTCCCCTTCTTTATGAGGGGTCGGAATGACATCACTGATGGCCAATAGAAAAGACCCAATTATGTCCAGGCCATAAAAAGGAATGGGACTTTTTTTCTCCACCAAATCAAAACTTCCTTCAGTTTCATGAATACAAGGGGCCCCTTTTAAGGACACCATCCACCCCCCACACGTGCACACCAGTCCTGCCTGTGGGCTCTAAAGCAAGGTACATGATCACTCTTCAAATGCTGTGGGCCTAGAGCCAGAAAGGGCCCATACCTTGGCATTTACCATGTGGTCTTGCTCTTATCAAGTCACCAGAACAGAACCTCAAACCCTATCCTCAGATGTTTGCCAGACTCCTCACTTGTCTAGCTTCCTGCTGACACTTTTAAACAACAAAACAAGAGCTTCTGCTTAGAAAGAAGAGAACATGGGAGGATAAAACCGTAAGACAATGTCTCTCCCCACAGACAGACAACAAAGCAAAGGGAGCCCCACCTTCCCCAACCCAGTCCTCATTCAGGCCTACCACCTGCAACTGAGCCTTTCTGGCTTGGCCCAGACAGCCTTGATAGCAAACAGGTGTGGTGAGCTTGGCGCCAGTCAAAGCAGGGGAGTAGCTCATTAAGGGAGCCCCCACACCCCACCCCTTGCTAATGGGTATGACCAAGGTGGAACCATTGTTAAGCAGGCTTCAGCTTTGAAGATTTGGTGAATGGAGCTTGGGGGAGTGCCACAAGGTTTGAGTTGAGGAGACCACAGAGGTCTGACAGATATAGACTACAGGCAGATTCCAAAAGGCAGGTCCAGCAAAAGAGCAGACACCTGTGCTGGAAGAGGCCGTGGACATTTTAGTCCTTAAAGGTTTTGCTCCCTTCAAATTTTAACCAATAAACCCATCTTGGGAGTCTGACTTTTTAGCAGACTCAAGACTTTAGAGAGGAGGGACCAGCAGGCTGGAGTCATCATCTACTCCTTTCCGCCTCACAGGAAACGCCATGGCACCTGGATCTCAGAATGGCACGGATTGTCAGTCCTGATGACCAACAGCACCGAACTGTGTAGACATCACTCATCTCTAGAAACCATTGTGTTCCTGTGACATGTAGAGAAGGAATGTCTCAGTCATCAGTGGACCATGAAGGGAAGAGGACCAACTTTGTAAAGGAGTGGGTTGAGAGAAGTCAGAGCAAAGACCCTGCAAAGGGGCACCTCTGAGGTACATGCAGCTTTCTCATTTGCCCATTCCAATACAAACACTCTCAGTGTTGTCACCAGCTGTCCCACATTTCAGAACTGTCACAATTCTCTATGCGACTACTCTGCTAGTGAAGAGAGACTGAGCCCCAGGAACGACCCCCGACCCCTGGAGCCCTATCTAGTGTACCACCTGGTCAGAGTGCCACAGCCTACATGATGTAAGTCTGCACCCAGCATATGCCAGCCACACTAACCTGAGCAGCACTTAGCTGGGGACATGGCTCTTTGTCTCTCCTGCTTCC